GTGGTGGTTACATGATGTATGTATTTGTCAAAACTCATAGAACTGAACACTACAAAAGGTGAATTTTACTGCGTCGATTACCCTTTAATTTTTTAAAAGGGGAATTACTAATGTTGGTAGGGTGCCAAATCCTGACTATCCAGGAGAGAGAGGGTGCTGACGGTGCTGACACACAGAGCGGACAGAAGGAGTAAGTGTGGAACTCAGGAAGTGCCTGGGCTGCCTCCCAGTACTGCCAGGTCCAGTGTAGAAATTAATAGAAGGATGAAAAAAATTAATGGAAGACGTCAGTAACCCAACACAGGGGCAGGCCCGTCAAGGGCCCAGGTATCTCAGGAGTAGAAGGTCTGGGTCACTGCACAGCATAAAAAACCCTAATCAGCAGACATGCTGGCTGAGAATAAAAGGGACATGGGACGGGGGACAGAGGATGCAAGTCGTAAGTACCACCTAGAGCCAGGTGGCGTCTGCAGAAAGGAGGACTCGAGTGTCTGCCCAGATTTTCTTCCTTACTGTGCATGTATATATTTATATATCTTACTCTCTTTTTTTTCTTCTTTGATGGTGGCTGACTTTACAATTTAGCCGCTAAACTGCAGAATATTGAGATGTGATCATGACCAAAGTAAAAAGAAAGGTGCCATCACACAGACATCCTGGACTTAGCATGGGGGCAGTGACTGATGAGACACTGGGCCATCTCCCTGGTGTTGCGATGTGTTTGAAGGGAACACTGGCAAGGAGTTGGGATTAAAAATATGGAGCAAAAGAGTTCAGGCAGATGTTGATCAGCTGAAGGGAGGACTATACTAAGAGAACAGAGCACAAATTTCAGCAGGACCAGAAGGATGAGGTGGGACAAGGGACATCTTTACAGCAGCCATTGAGGGTCCAGAAGATCATAAAGCCCCCCACACACACACTTCCTTGAAGCCACTTAAGCTTCACTCCACCCTGAATCCAATCTTGGCCAGGAGACTGGGGTGGTAGGAGAAACCCTAAAGGCTGAGTATTGAATTACAAAGAGACTGGCAACCTGAAAGTCACTATGTGTCTCATTTCCTACCCTCACCTAAACAAGATGGATACCGGATAGTCAGAGAACATTTAAAAGCTACCATTACTGCACACCCCAACTGTAATCTGAGCCTACTTCTGGGGGAAGGAAGGTTATCTGTGGGCTAGGCAACCATGCGTGGAATGGAGGGCATATCTATTGTTCTTGTTTGCCCAGAATCCTTCCCTTTTCTTTGGTAAAAAAAAAAAAAACCTCTATTTGGAGAAGTGCCCCTCCCATTCCATGAGGCCCAGGTGGGGCTGCCCACCTCAGGGATCTGCCCAGTGCAGACCATGGGGAGGGGGTTGGAGGACACAAGCGAAGTCAACCTGAGTGCCTTGATGGTGAATTGAATCTTGAGTGGATTCCATGTCTGGTCCCTGCTCTGACTCCAGGACTGTCACACATCTGACCTTGATGCAGAGCTGTGAGTCCCTTCTCAGAATTGCGATGTCTGTGTTCGTGGCTTAAGCAAAGGGGATGTGTTATAGGAATACAGGGGAGTTCAGGCCTCACAGGGGCGGGAACGCAGCCAACCATGGGAAGGCCATGTGTGTGTGTGTGTGTGTGTGTGTGTGTGTGTGTGTGTGTGTAGCCAGACCCTGGGAATTCATCAGGAAGTCAGGGCATGGCTGCCGCTGCTTCTTCCTGAATGGCTAATCCGTCTTCCTCCCCTCTGCAGACCAGCTTTCTCGCTTTCTTCATCAGCACGTCAATAAACCGCCTTCCTGGGTTTCTTGAGTTCCATCTCTCGGGTCAGCTTGAAGGTGAGCTGTTGGGCACAAGACTACACCCCAGGAGAGGGGCTTGGGTCAGATGGCCATCCCTTGCCCAGTCCATTGTGGTGGGGAGCAAAGATGGGCTCATTCAGTAACATGGCTGCCAGAGGCCTGCCCTTGTGGGTCTGGGGCAGATCTTGGAGGATGTAGACTGCGAGACACCCAAGAAGAGTCTGCCACATTTCTAGGTGTACAGCCACTGTGCTCCAGCCCACTAACCAGGAGGCAAGACACCACCCCAACTGCCACCATCCCAGGTGGGACTTGACCAGCGAGAGTTTTGCTCCTTTCTTTCTTTTTTCTTTTTTTGGTAAGAAAGATTGGCCCTGAGCTAACATCTGTTACCAGTCTTCCTCTGTTTTGTACGTGGGACGCTGCCACAGCATGGCTTGATGAGCGATGTGTAGGTCCGCGCCCAGGATCTGAATCGGCAAACCCCAGGCTGCTGAAGTGGAGCGCACAAACTTTAACCACTATGCCACCGGGCCAGCCCCTCCTTTCATTTTTTTTAGATTGAGGTGCAGTCTCTACATTACACACAATACAATATTCAAATCTTAAGCACAATGCAAGATGGATTTTTACATATGTGTTATGGACACCCCAGATTTAGAATAATTTCAGCACTCCAGGAGGCTCCCTCCTGCCCCCTCCCAGGGGTAAACCCTGCAGACTTTTATCACCATAGGTTATTTTTGCCTCTTCTTGAACTTCACGTAAATGGAATCACACGGTCTGTATTCTTTTGTCGACGGCTTTTCCCACTCAATATTGTGTCTGAGAGCTTAGCCCCTATGATTGCAAGTGGGAACCAGAACTTGGTTCTTTCTTGAGGGGGGAAAACCCAAAGCAAAACACTCTTTAGATTGGGGAAGGGGTGGTTAAACCTTAAGTTTTGGTACAAAAAGTATCTCATTCTTGCTCACATTTTGGAAGCACACACATCGTCAAAGCTCCCTTTGCTACACTCTTCGTTTGTAATGAAAGAAACTCCAGTCTTTCTCCTCTGGGAAGATGGCCGTGACCAGGTGGAGACAGGACGGGTGCATTTTTCACGGCTCCATTCACAGATAGAAATAGCTCCTCCAGTTCCTTCCCCAGCCTCCTAGTCTTGACTTGTGAGACGGGAACCGTAATTACCCTCCCTGCGGCTCAGCTCACAGGAAGTTTTGGGGTTTTGGGGGGCGGTGCAGAGAAGGGGAGGCCAGAATGAGCTCATGGGGAAAAGTGACTTTGAACACTGAGTTCCATAAAAATCAGAGAGTGTTCCTTTAATCAATGGTATTTCCGTGTCTCTGGAATTGGGTGGGTTTCTCTCATTTTGAGGGTCTCCTGGCTGGTTCTGAAGCCAGGTACCTGAGGGTTACCATAGATATTAAACCAATTTGCCATTTTTCCTGTTTAACTTGAGGAGTGACTCAGGGGTCTCGAGGATTTGTGAGCTTGTTTTGCAGGAGAAAGAGAATGCCTTGGGGAGGTTGCGGATCACTGGATGGGATGGCCTGGCCGGCCCTCAGCAGCCGTTGATGCCCAGAAGTCAGATTGCCCAGGGGCTTATTGGGAGTGACCCCTTTGTTTCCCCAGAGCTCCTCCTGCCAAGCCCCTTAGCTCCATAAAAGCCCCCTGCTTTCTGTTCTTGGGAGGCGGATTTCAGCAAACCCAGGCTCCTGCCTACTCGTTTTGGCCAATTTGAATAAATCTTTCTCCATCTCCAAGCACCGATGTCTCAGCGTTTGGCTTGCTGTGCATCGGGCACATCAACTCGAGATTAAGAGGTCTGGTATCAGTTCCTCCAGCTGCTCTCCTATATTCCACCCACCAGTGGTGTAAGGGGGAGGGGAGGGGTGGTATTACATGGCCTGAGTGCCTATGACATGCCAGCCACTTCCACTGGGTTCCACATGCATTGTCTTATTCAATCCTGACCTTATGAAGAAGGAACCATCATCCTCCTTGGGTAGATGAGGAAACTGAGGCTCAGGGAGCTTACATGTTTAAATTACTTGTCCAAGGTCAGGTAGCTAGTTAGTGCTGAGTTTTGAAGCCAAGTCTACGTAGATCAAAGCTGCGCTTGAGGCTATCCAACCTGGGGCCTCCACAGTGGAGCCGTCTTCCACTTGCTAGGGTGGGGATGGGTCGCTGGCTGCAGTGAACAGTCCGTCAGGGAAAGCTGCTCTGGTCCCACACCTGAGCACACTCAGGCAGCTGCGCCGTTCCCAGCCTCCAGCTCCCGGGCCACCTGAGGCTCACGAGACCTCCTCACTCTCAGCCAGAACTAGCAACTGCTCACGCTCACACGTGGCCTTGGGTAGGGGGGCAGAGTGAGTGGAAGCCTTAAATGAAGGGGCTTTAAATGAATCTCTTGAATGCTGGGATTGCAGATATTAAATGAAGTGGAAAGGAAACGGGAGAGAATTGCTTGAGAAGGAAATCTCCTAAGGGCCCCTGAACTCACTCCCGGAGGCAGCCCCCTGGTGAGAGGGAGGGAGGGAGGTATGCCCAGTGAGAACACACATCCCCTGGCCAGGGGTCACAGAGCTGGTCAACCTCAAGGACCTGGGCCTGCCCTGACATCCCCAAGGGGACCTGGAAGGTTGAGGAGAGGGGAGGCTGGGACCCCTCCTCACCGAGTCTGACACTGCCACATACATGGCTTTGGGTGGAGCCAAAGGCAGGCCCTGGACTGGGGTGAGGCATGAGAGGTGCCTAGGATGCAGAATCTAAGGAGATGCTCACCTCAGTGCCTCGCTTGCCTCACCCTTGTTCCAGCCCTGCCGAGGAGCCCAGGGCTCTAGAGGTGAACAACAGCTGCTAACACTTACATACTGCTCATGTGTGCCAAGTCCTGTTCCAGGCTGTATATCTCTCTCTTAATATATATAACATGTATATAACATACATTCATTCACTTAACCCTCACAACTCTTGAAATTATCCTCAGTTGACTGATAAGGAGACTAAGGGTCAGAATAGATAACTTGCCCAGCTAATAACTTGTACAGGTGAAAGTGTTCCAGAGTCCAACTGCCAATCATGATGCAATATCACCCCCCACCCCCACCCATGCAAAAGTACCAGGTGCTGCCCAGTGACCTTATCAGGACCCCCCTCTCCCCCCATGCCCGCCGCCAGCAGACTGGCCACAGCTGGGCCTCTGCTCACGGCAGGCCCTGGGGATGGGGAAGGTGAGTCACATGTGGACAGGGCCCCTTTTATAGCCCCACCACCCAGCTGGCTCTGTCTTATGCCACCTGACCAGCCGGCTGCTACCTACACCAGCTGTGCCCATTCATCATGGAGAAAGTCCTTGTCCTTCTGCTGGTCGCCCTTGCAGTGGCCTACGCAGTTCCCGACCCCCGGGGAACCATTATCAACTTGGTAAGAGGGTCTTCAGGGGAGGAGTTTTCGAACCCCCAGGTGGGGATTTTTTAAGCTTGGCTCTTGACTTCTGATGTCCCCTCCTGGGGCTGCTCAGGGGCTGGGTGGTGAGGCATCTCTTCCTTCACTGCCCATGTCCTGGCCTGCACCTCTTCCCCAGGAGCCCCAGAAGAGACTGGTCAGCACGGAGCATGCTCAGAGCAGTGGTTTAACCTGCTGCGGAACTTGATAAAAATCCAGAGCCCTGGAAACTGTGGCTCAGAAGGTCCAGTAGTTTAAAAAGCTTCCTCAGGGATTCTGGCTTCTGACCTAGAGTGGCACGCTTACTGTGTGCCAGACACAGTCCTAAATGCCTCAGGAATAGTTCCTTATTTAGCCCTCATAATAACCACATGAGGTACTATTATTATCAACCCCGTTTTCTGATGGAAAGCTGACCTAGGGAAAGGGTAAGCAACCTGCCTGAGGTCACACAGCTAGAAAGTGTTGAGCAGGGATTGGAGCCCAGGCCAGCAGGCTCCAGAGCCATGCTCTCACCACTGCCCCACATTGCCTCTCCCCCAAGGGCAGAACGGGGAAAGCCCTTCAGGGCCACCCACCGAGTCCATGGGTTCTTAGCTAAGGGCCATGCATGGGCTCGGAGGGTCCAGGATACCCCTGAGATTATAGGTAGAAGTCTGTGGGGGAAGGGAGGAGTTTTCCAGGGAGATGTCCTCAACTTTCACAGGCTCCTCAAAGGAATGGGGGACCCAGAGAGGTTTGGAGACCCTGTTTGGGGGCAACATGTGCACATTCCAGATGGGAACACTGAGGCATAGGGTGGGGCAGTGACTTGCCCAGGGCCACCCAGAGAGTTGGCAGTACAGCCGGCACTAGATCCTGGGTGTCCTGCCCCCAGCCTAGGGCTGCTTCTCTGGTACCACCCTGCCCGCTTCTCACATGGGAGGGGGGTAGGGGTGGGCAGAGAGGCCACCAGACCCATGGGTTGGATTCCTCCACACACGCTCCTACCAGGGGAGGCACTGTCAGTGGCAGTGGGTAGTGGGGTGGGGGTCTGGGTGGAAAAGGGACCACGGGGAGGGGCTCCTAGGCTGACTGACTGCCCCTGGCAGGAGGCAGGCGAGCTCTGCTTGAACAGCGCCCAGTGCAAGAGTGAATGCTGCCAGCGGACAAGTGGAACGAGCCTGGCCCGCTGTGCAGCCAGGGCCAGCGAGAACAGCGAGTGCTCTGCCTGGGTGGGTACCAGAGGAGTTGGTGTGATGGGGGCAGGGGAGGGAGGGATAGCTCAGAGGAGGAGCGCCCTTAAGGCTTGGGGATGGGATCAGGGAGGAGGGTCAGCCTGGACATTGAATGTTGAGGAGATAAAGAGAGGGGAGTCAACAGGCTTCTGAGCACTTTCCCATCCCATCATCTCTCTTGACCCTCACAACTGACCAGCGAGATGGGTGGGCAGCAATTTGTTACCCCCTTTTCATGATGGGTAAACAAAGGCTCCCCAGAGTGATCAAGTTAGTAAGAGTAAGTGAGTCATGGAGCGGAGCCCAGAACCTGGTCCTCCAGGCCCACAGCACCCCCTGAGGAGGCAGTCAGGAGAAGCACCATCTGAAAAGACAGACTGGCTGTTGGTTCTCCGTGTGAGGCAGGGATAAGCGATGCCCAAAGCGGCCCCCCACAGCCTGTGACTCCACTGGCTCCATGCCTCTGCAGTCGCTCTATGGGGTTTACTACAAGTGTCCCTGCGAGCGGGGCCTGACCTGTGAGGGGGACAGCACCATCGTGGGCTCCATCACCAATACCAACTTTGGTACCTGCCTCGATGTTTGACGCTCCAAGGAGTGAAAGCATCCATCCAGCCCTGCATCTAGCCCAGCACGCTGAAGGACGCTCCTCCTCCGCCTCCTCTCCCTGGCTGGCCACCCCCTGGACCAGCACCTCCATCTTCTGATTGGGTTCTTGGCAATTAAAGCCCCTCCTGCAAACCTTCCCCAGGCTCCTGGATGTTCTTGCTGAGTAAGCGTCTTCCTTGATGTGACGTCAAGTCTTTGTCCCATCAGGGCAGGCGTCGGACAGGTCAGAGAGGGAAGGATGGGTCTGGGACCAGGCAGGACGAAGCTGGACAGACTGGAGACCAGGTTGTGAAGCAGGTCCCGAGAGGCTGGGGACCTCTCCATTCCAGAGAGCAATCACACCTCTCTGGGATGCCCTTCTTGCCCCTCAAGCTCTCAAATGGACAGACAGGCTCTCACACACGTGCACACACCCACACACCCATCTCTGGTGTTATAACGGCCCATATTCTTTGACCTGCATCAAAACTTACCAGTCCTCTGTCCTGGGCTCTCACCTCTTTTCTGAGTCCAACTCTCAGAAGTGACAGCTAGCTGGCACAACCCATGTGTTAAAGGGTCAGACCACTAATAATCACTGGGGGCTTACTCTGTGCTAGAAAATCCTCACAATAACCCAGGGAGGGAGAATTCATTGTCTCCACTTTACAGATAAAAGAAACTAAGGTTAAGTAACTTGCCCAATGTCACATAATTAGAAAAAGTCGGCACTAAACCCATCTAACTGCACCCCGCTACCCTTTTCATGATTCCCTGTTCTTTCCCAATTGTTCATACTAAGATGGGTAGAATTGTAGAGAATCTAGTTTTGGCTTAATATAAAAATTTTGTAACCCTTGGAACTATCAAGGGGTTCCCTTAGGCAGTCCTGAGGTCCCCATCACTAAGATGTTCAAGTGGAGGTTCACTGACCCCTCAGTGGGAATGCCAGAGTGGAGATTCACATGAAGAATGAGAGAGAGTGAACTGAATGAACCTGAGATGCTCTCCCAGCCCCGGGATTCTATAGTTCCGGGATCAATGAATCCTTAGAATAACCATGAGGTTTATGAGTTAGGACTGGATTCAGCTGTAACAAAAAAACCAAGTAATTATGGCTTAAACAAATAGGGGCATATATTTCTCATGAATGAAGAAGTCTAGAGACAGGAAGTGCTAGCATGTGCTTGGGTGCTTGTGGATCTGCAGTTCTCTTGACCTTCTGCTCTTGGTTGGCAAATGCCTTCATAGCAGCTCCTAACACTGTATCCTATCACTATATTCCAAGTTAGGAAGCACGGAGTAGGGGGTGAGCAGGATAGGGGCGAGAGGCAGAGCGTTTCTCCCAGCATACCTTCTTAACCTGCCCTAAAGCCTCCAGGCTGACTTCTCCATGTCCTCATGGCTACAACTAGGCCACCTGACCACTTCTAGCTGCAAGGGAGGCTGGGAAAGCAAGCGTTGGGCAAAAGGAATGAGATGGCCATGACTGGCTCAGACTCATTATGACCCCTCTCCCAGGGCTGGGCACATTACTACCCAAACAACAGTGGGGTTCAGTTAGCAAGGAAGAGGGGCAATGGCTGCCACACCTGAGTTAGCGCTCAATGAGAGGGGCTTTCAACAACCTAACCCAGTAGGGGTCTCAGCCCCTGAGGCAGCTGTGGGTCCAATTCCTTGGTGCCCAGATTCAGCCCTGTGGAGATCTGCATTCATTCACTTCTTCACATATCTACTGAATGACCACAGTGCCCAGCACTGTGTTACAGACTGTGGGGGATGCGAGGAAAATGCCCCTAGTTTCCAGGACGGAGCAGGGAGTTGGGCTCTGCAGAAGCAAGTGGCCAAGACCCCACCTGCCTGTTGCCCTATATTAAATCCCTTCTATTTGAAATACCTCCAGTGGTTCCTTTACTACCCTGAACCTAACTCATACAAGGCCGCTGGAAAAAAGTGAGCATTTTGTTGTTCTTGTTTAAAAGCAGCTTCTTCTCACCAAGCCTTGAGCCCACACGAGCCACTATTTTCTAATTCACATAAAGATGTCCTATAGGCTGTGACCTTGCCATTGACACTTTCCACTTTAATATCCTACTCCCAGGAGCTCCCCATCTTGCTGTAACTTTTTTTCTAGATATGCTAGACAGTCAGCTATAAAAGCAGGGGTATTTGCAGCCTGGAGCCCATAAAAACTTCCTAATGCTGGACCCTGTAGACCTACACTGTCTAATATGGTAGCCATTAGCCAGCCACATGTGACTTTTGACCACTTTACATGTGGCTCATCTGAACTGAGAGAAGTGTAAAATTCAAACAGGATTTTGAAGACCTATTACCAAAAAAAAGAATGTAAAAATCTCTCAATTTTCACATGTTGAAATGATCACATTTTTGATTGGGTTATAAATAAAATGTATTATCAAAATTGATACCACCTGTTTCTTTTTACTTTTTTAATACGGCCATTAGAAAATTTAAAATTACATATGTAGCTCACATTGTATTTCCACTGGATGGTGCTGCTGTAAATGCTCGATTTCTGCTGCTTTTCAGCAATAGAAAATTGACTCTTTTCAGCATAGCAGAGGCATAGTCTTACACATCAAAGTACTTTCTCCCCACAAATTTCTCTAGATTCTGGCAGCAGTGGCCTCTACCAATGACCACTTTTCCCACTGGGGCAGCTGAATATCCGTGGCTTGGAAAGGGGTCCAGAGTACACCACTGTGGCATCAAAATTATTTTGAGCTGAAGGCATTGGAGAATATGCTTTTTTCTGAACTCCCTTATCTGCCTAAAATTAGAGCCTCCCAAAAGAACTCAGTTGTCATAAACCCCCTTTCTGGGAGTTTCTTGAAGCCAGGGAAGATTGACTTTTATCACTGGAGGGGAGTCCGCTCCACACCTAAACAGACATTGTCACAAAACTATCATATTTTCCATCTGCTCTCCTAAGGGTCCATTTATCTTTCCTAAAACTCATTTGTTTTTCTGTAAGTGACCTTTCTCCCTGTCCCCATCTCCAATTAAGATGGTATTTAAGCCCCAAATTCTAACTGCCTCATTGAGTCACATTTTTCTGTGAACTCCCTCATGTACTTATGTGAATAATAATCTGTCTTTTCTCTTGTTAATCTGTCTTTTGTCAGTTTAATTTGCAGACCCCCAAATAGAACCTAAGAGGATAGAGGAAAAGTTTTTCTTCCCCAACACTTGAAACCAGTTTAATCAGATCAGCAACGTATCTTTTTTCCCCTACCCTTTCTAACTTCTAATATATTGAGTCTGCCTGGAGGCTGGGCTTCCAGCCTCAACCTCTCCTTCCAAGGTTGTTTCATAGACTTTCTCCAAATTGGGGGAGCTTCTGTAACCCTATGGACTGTAAGACTCTGTATCTGTCTGATGTGCGTGTCACACTATGTATCTGCCTGATGTACATGTAACACTCTGTATCTGTCTGTCTGCCACATTTCATACAGGATAGCATATTCTACCGAGGTAGAGTTCACAGTTTTGCTAGGACTTACAGGGGGGTGCTTGAAGTACAACCACAGCTTACACGTCAACTCCCGAGCTCTTGCACCATAAGCCTGACATCCTGGAGAGCACACTTGGCTCGGGTCTGTGGGTTTACTTAATTAGAAGTGTAGCTGAGGATGGAACCTTAGGGCCAAAATCTGAAATAGTTTTCTCCCAAATGTAACCTGACTATAACAGGGCCACCTTGAGGCCTGCCTCTGCTGAGAATGCACTGCACACGAGCCAGCGAGCTAGGATCCGGCTCTAAGAGCCTCACAACACACAGTACCATTTCCTAAAACTCCTCCTGACTTGTCCTTGCCCTATCCCCACATGGCACAGAAGGTGCTCCCATCTTTCTTTTCCTCAGTCTTTCCTTGGCTCTCCTTTCTTTAGCAACCCTTCCTTCTCTTCCTGTCTTCCAGAAGAGTCAGATTCATCACTTTCAGGCTGTGTGACCTTGAGCTAGTTGCTCAATCCCTCTGTTTTCCCACATGTAAAATAGGGGTGATAACACTACTGACCCTTCAGAGGATTAAATGACATCGTGTGTGTAAGGCACCGAGCATTGCCCCTGGCATCTAGGAAGCACTCAACAAACGCTGGCGATTCTTCATACATGTTTGTTTTGTACACTTTCTTTCACATTTCCAAAATTTAAGGTCAGGGGAACGGAGAGTTCAGGTGTAAACTGAGCTTTTGAAGGTGGATTATGGAGTGGGCTGAAGCCAGAAAGGGGTTGGGGGGGAGGGGAGTGCAAGTCTCCTGTGGGGGACTTTCATTCGTACCCCAAAAAGTGAAAGACTCCAAGCCCAAGAATATCCCTTCCTGCTTCCTCCCTCATCTCCTCACTGGCCCCCCAGCCAGCGCCCCCAGCAGCCTGTCCAGTGCCCGTCCCAGCCCGGCAGGCCCACCCAGCCCCCAGCTCCACGGGCAGCAAACATTGAGAGCTCTTTATTTCCACGATGGTGCATCATCCCCCGCTCCTTGCCCCTCCCCTGCTGGTGGAGACTGGGGGGCCAGGGGCAGGAACACACAGTTCTGGGTAGAGACGGGAGTTGGGGGAGGAGCGGGGGGAGGAGTCAAGGAAGAGGCAACATTAAAAGAAACTTTTCTTAGCTGGCTTCTTTTTTTCAGTTTTCTTACACCGGCCGTAGATAATTCTAAACGATTTCTCATTCTTCGGAAATACACAAGTCAGGTCCGGCAGGCAGGGACACTCGTTATATAGGCCGAGGAACGTCTGGGAAAGGCGGGACTTTGACCTTGACCTTGGGAGCGGCTCTGCCCTCACCCGAGGGGCAGCCCCCACTCTCACCCCAGCCCAGCTCTGGGGCCCATCTGCTTGCACACAGCAGAGGAGCCTGAGCATAAAGGACTCCCTCGCTCAGCTGCTCAGAGTCTGTGCCTCTGGTTGCCTCCTCCAGGCTGGCCCCAGTGTTGCTCAGTGCCCTCCTAGCTCCATCCGTGGCATTAACCCATAGGCCTGTCCTACGTCGATGAACACCGACAGGGGCCCCCATCCCTTCTCCTTAAATCCTTTCATGGGCAAGTCACCTCCCCTCTCCTGCACACCTAGCTCAGAGGCTGCCTCCGGCCAGGAACACCTGGGGCCACAGCAGACTTCCTGGGGCTTGGGGGAGGGTGGTCTGAGGCAGAGGTAGAAGCAAGGTTAGCGCCAGGCCTTCTAGCTGTGCCCATTTACAGTGCTACTTTCGGGGTTTGTACACGTGAGCCCTGGAGAACCAGAACCCATTTTAGACAGAGAAGCGTCGCCACGCCCCACTCCCCCGCTCCAGGATTCCAAGTGCCGCGGTGGGGACCCACCTTGGGTCTGGCCACAGGCTCCCCCAGGCGGCTTGGAGGTGCATTCCCGGCAGAGAACTCCCGGCTCCAGGTCGTTTCGGCCCACCTCCCCCCGCTCCTTCCCTGGGCTCTAGGTCCACTCTGGCTCCCCAGCCCCCGTCTCCGTGGGTCCCTCCCCCCTCAACTGTCACTCACCTGCGTGTGACACGCGCTGCCCTCCGACCCCTTGAGGGCGCAGTACGACTCGCAGTTCTTGGGCTCCCGGCGGCAGCATCTGCTCTTGCACTTCTTGCTCTGGATGCAGATCTCCCCGGTGCCCTGTTGGGAGACGGCCCCGCCCGGCTCCACCGCGGCCCCCGCCCCCCGGGCTTCCCCTGCTGGCCCCTCCCCCACCTGCGGCCCCACCCCCCCACGCCCGCGAGGCTGGGCACCGGGGGACGTCTGTGCGGATGGGGCGGGGGAATGAGGGCGCCCGCAGGCCCTGACTTGGTGCCAAGAGGGGACTAAACAGTTTTTAAAGGTTTGCCCTTTGTGTCCCCAAAATAGGGTACTTCTCCTCTCGCACACACCAGGGTTATCCAGACCTTCCTGTCTTTGCTCACTCAGTTCCTTCCGCTGCACAACCTTCTGTCCTGCGAACTCCTCCTTACCCTTTCCTTGTCACCTACAGCCCCCACCCCCCCCACACACAGACACACTCACATCAGTGACCCCTAGTGCTGGGGCTTACAACATGGCGGTATCACCGCTACCCATCATCTCTCTGTGGGGCGAGTTCAATAGTCATTCAACAAGCAAATACTGAGCACCTACTGTATCCGGGCACCGATCCAGGCACCGTTCCAGGCCCTGGGGATACAGCTGGGAACAAAACACACAGAAATGCCTGCCCTTCTGGAGCTGACAGTCGAGAACAGCCATCCAATAGAATCTTCTGCGATGATGACAATGTGCTTTTTCTACATGGTCCAATTCCGGAGTCACTAGCCACAGGTGGCTATTGAGTACCTGACACGTGGCTAGTGGGACTGAGGAGCTGAATTTTAAATTTTGCTTAATTTTAATTAATTTTAATTTAAGTAACTGCATGTGAGTAGTGACCACAGTGTTAGACAAGTGTGGTCCGACACTTATCTAGGGGAGCTCTAGGAGAGAAGACTCAGAATAAATAAATACATGAAATAGATAGGGTGTCATCCACAAAATGTTGAGCAAAAGAGGCCAGATTTAAAAACAAACAAACATATTGTGTAATTCCATCAGATGAAGTTCCAAAACAGGGAAAACTAATCTACGATGATAGAGGTCAGGAGAGCGTTACTTTGGGACTATTGACTGGCAGCAAGCATGAGGGAGATTTCTGGAGTGCTCGAAATGCGATGTGTCTTGATCTGGCTGGCGGGTAGGAGGGGTTTGCATAAGTTTAAAATCTACTGGGGGAAGGGGCAGCAGGCGCCATGTCTGGCCGAGAGGGTGGCCAGAAGTGCCTGAAGCAGCCCAAGACGAGGGCCAGGGAGATGGACGAGGAAGATAAGGCATTCACGCAGAAACGGAAAGAGAAGCAGAAGAAATTGGAGGAGCTAAAGGCGAAGGCTGCGAGGAAGGGCCCCCTGGTCACAGGTGGAGTTAAGGAATCTGGGAACAAGTCATCTGTTCCTTGTGCCGGGGCAGTGGTGACCCTGAATTCCATTCCTGTGAAAACTTCTGGATTGCCTGCTGTAACATCTGTTGCCACCGATAGTGAGAATGAAGTGTCGTCTTGGAGCCTGTTGTACATTTAACAATAAACTTTTGTTAAAAAAAAAAAATCATGCAGTAGCTCATCTTCTCTTTAGTTCTTCTCACTCAGCCATTTCTACCTCAGCTGTAAGGTCACAGTAAACCTAGCCCAGAATCCAGCCAAAGTGTGTTCTTCAGTCTTCGTTCTACCCCGAATTCTGTACCACCTGGAATTAAACCAACTCGTTTGGGAAAAAAATAATAATAAAAAAGTAAAATCCACTGATTTTAATGTAAAATGAAGATTTGGGCATTTTACTGTACGTAATTTTTACCTAACATATATGTGTTAGGTATTATTTATTAATGATTATTATTTATATTACATATGTATCATCATATCTATTATATATGATTTAATGCTGTAAAGAAAATAAAGCAGGAAAGCAGGACTAGATTGACAATAGCCTCTTCCTGCTCTCCCTGATTCTACCCTTGCCAGGAACCCACCCCCAGCCCCCTCCCCCACCTTCCCAC